TGTCTTGCCCACAGCCGATTTGAACATCAGCACCTACATTTAGAAAGGAGCAGATTTTTTTTTAATTTCCTATAGTCAACGCATCTCACAAGTCATTGAATACCTTAGTGTGATTTCATAAATAATTGTGGAGTTTCAAAAAATAAATAAATGCTACAATTGGAGGGCTAAGATGTTTTGGGGATTGGAGATTGTTTTTGACACTGCAGAGTTCCCAGGTGATGTTACCTGAGTGTAGCAGAAGTCTTACACAGGATACAGCCTGAGCCACGCAGGCAGAATACAGAGGAGTCCCCATTACTGGCAGCTCCATGTCGATGTGAGCTCCATATGAGAGCAGCAGCTCCAGACACTCTCTGTGACCTGACAGAGGGGGGCAGCATATACATCATTTATCTGTGCTGTGGCACGCACCATCAAAACTTTTCTGAGTCACACATGTTTGCACCTTTGCACACACCTTTCTTTGCTGCTTCGTGGATGGGTGACGCCAGCAGGTCTGGAGTGTTGATCGAGGCCCGGTGCTGTAAGATGAGTCTGACACAGGCAGCACTGCCACTGCTGCATGAGTTGAAGAGAGGTGTGGCGCCATCTGTTGAAACAGCCTCCGCCTAACAGAGAGGAAAAAACTTAGGTTATCACATAGCCAGGAGAAGCAGCTCATTACTGAACAAAGGGTACACAGATCCCTACAGGCACATTTGGCATCATTTAACACAATGCACCTTTTTTTTTGTCAATATCTGATGTCCACATCAGCAAAAATGTGCATGACACCCACAGCCATCACATATTTTACCCTATCAGAGTGCCTCGGACTTTCAGTTTAAGACCGCCTCTCCACATTTTTTCTTTTCTAATCAGGACAGTCAAACTTTTTCAACAAACTGATTTTTCTATATTAATTGTGTTTTTTAGGTTTAATCATTTTTTTTATTTAGGTAGCACAAACATTCAATATTACAGATATTTTCCTCCTTTTAAATTAAATTAAGAAAAATGAAAATAACAGGCCAACAAGTCAACAGGTATATTTATTTTGTTTTTTGACCCAGTGCAGCACTCACTTCTATGTTTTTTACATATTTTACTGTGTTGTGATTGGAGTGACTAATACACCCTGGAGTTTTTTTTTAATTACATACATCTGGTGAGCTTTTAATTTTTATAATCCAATCTGTAACATTTTACAGTTTTCATATTCAGCAGTTTATCAGAGCTTATATGTGTGATAGCTCTTCCATACCTGTTACATCACGTTGTATGTGAACAAGCTTGAGGTTTTGCATGGGACAAACTACAGAATAGTATCGTGTTAAGAGGAGGGAGGACCCTTGCATTAACAAAAATTTTGTCTGATTCTTAAGTTCTGATATTTCAAATGTATTTTTCCTAATTTCAGCAATTCTGATTCTGAAATATTTGACTCAGTGAACCACCTGACATTCCTCTCACTGGAGAAAGAAACTCAGATTTGATACCTCCTCAAAAGAGCTCCAGACTAAGACGCTGACTAGACTCTTCTCCTCTGTCGCCCCCCGGTGGTGGAATGAACTTCCAAACTCCATGTGATCTGCAGAGTCCCTCTGCACCTTTAAGAAAAAGCTAAAGACCCAGCTCTTTCATGAATACCTACTAACTTAATGATGATGGTCTCCATATTATTGATGATGATGATGGTAATGACGATGGTTTTTGTTTGATAATGACGACTTATAAGATGGTTTCTATTCTGATTAGAGCTCTCAAGAACTGCCCTCAATGTTGTGCTTTGCCTCTGGTCACTTCCTGTCAGCACCTGTGTGTCCAATCAGACTCAAAGCTGATCGTTTGCTCTTACTGACATTGTTCCCTTTTTTCTAGATCCTTGCTTGTGTTGTTCTTACTCTCTGATGTACGTCGCTTTGGAGAAAAGCGTCTGATAAGTGAATTGTAGAATTGTAGAACTTAAAAAAAAACTGAACTAAATTGCTTGTTACAGATTTGAGTTGAGTGATTCCGTCATATTGGAATGGAATGAAACAATGAAGTCTGTAAAAGCAGAAAATATTCTTACATTCGCTCCATGGTCCAGCAGGAACTTGGCACAAGCGTAATGGCCACCAAGGCAAGCTTCATGGAGAGGAGAGACTCTGTCCATGGTGAGTGTGTCCACATGGAGGCCCTGTAGGAGACAACCATGCATGTTCTCTGCATTGTGTGTGTGCAATGTTCTTTCTGTAGATCTTTTTTTTTAATGTGCTGTATAAATCAAGCTTGATAATTAAAGGTTTACCTGAGAAATGAGGCTTCTCAGGTGTAGCAGTCTGCCTTGGTAGGCGGCTTCATGGAGAGGAGTTCTGTCCGACCAGGAGTCTGAGAAACAAGGATTGAGATGAAGAAGTTCTCCACATTCAGAAAAACTCACAGATATACTCAAGGCCAAACACGCTCTGTACACTGTAATGACCTCATCTCATGTTTATCTGCTTTTCAGGGTCATCACAACCGGAGACTCCAAAACTTACAGCACAATAGTCTTTACATGCAATGTTTTCAGGTGACAACTCCTCTGCAACACTACAGAAAATACTATTTCTCATTTTTGTTTTACAAGAAACACAGAACAAGTGAGGACTAGGGCATGACAGTATGAATAAGATCAAATACAAGAATGTAAAAGGCACAGGTACAGTACATAATGGATGGTACATTCTAATGAAACAGGATATATTTAGGAGTCTTTATCTTTGTATAAATCCCAATTTTCTCCAAATATTCTTCTCCCTTCTTCTTTTGAAGTTTCAGGACAAAAGTCATTTTTTCCATAAAGCTGATGGAATTCACAATGTTCCTCAAGAGTCTCATGGTAGGAGGGTTCCTCTCAAGCCAACATTTAGAAATCACTTTTTTAACTTGCCACCATAAGAATCTTTAAAAGGAGAAAATATAACTTTTAAACTTCAATAATTATTACTATTACTATGAAGACACAGTGATATGGCTCACCTATCACTACCGCACACCTGCTAGAAAGTTTGCACAATAGCTTAAGAACTCACAAATGCAACGCAGCTGTATGGCTTTCCATTTCTCTCACAACATAACAAATAACCTGTGCCAAAAAAAAAGGGAAAGAGAAGAAACTTACCGGCCATCAGGGCGTTACATATGAGCCCCCCGTAGATGTGCAGGGGCCTCTGCCAGGGCTGTGAGAATAAGGAAACTTCTGTTTGTACTGCAGCCATGATGAGAATGAAGCAGCACAGTCACACTCTCTTGGATGATCCACAAATTGAGCTCGGCCAGCAGAAAAGACAGACCTGGACATTGTCTTCCTCCCTCTTATCTCAGACCTCGGCCACCTCCCCCCCCTACATTGCCACCTCCCGGCCCACCCCCATGACCCAGCCCATTAAAATGGTCTAGAGAGCTGGTGAATAACAATGGTTATTCAAATGGAACTATACGATGCACCTTGTAAAGAAGCACTTTGTTAATGTGGATGCATACATCTCCTGAGAGACGGAGGCAGACAAGTTCAACAAGTTTGGTTTTGTGTGTAAGTACGCTGTCTTTAGTATTGAAACTATAGTTTCAGCTAAGAGCACGGGTATGCTATCACAAGTTTAGAGATTATTTATATTAGGTGATGCAGAACAATACAAGACGAGTGAGGGACATGACAAGAGCAATAGCATGTAGGAGGGAGGCGAGACACGACGATACAATACACAGCATAGACAAAACAGGCAATCAGGGAGTAATAATAACGTTTAGCAACTCTGTATGTTGAGGGTGTTGAAGGGCCCGGTTTGTTTGTTTGTGTATAATGCAAATGTATGCTTGTATCTATTTTATTTTTTTAAATATTTTCTTTTTTCCTTCCCTTCCCGCTTTCTTTTTCCTTGGGTACAATAAAAAGAATGAAGGTTTGAAGATAACTAGGAGGAGAAAGTGGTCGAAGTGGCATTTAACAGCAAATTGAGCTCGATGAGTAAAAAAAAGAGATATAATAACAAAAAATATTAATAATATTAATAGAATTAAATATAAATCAATGAATAGAGTGATTCAATATTTATCAAGCAAGATTTTAAAAAATCTCATAATTAAAGTTAACACAAAATAAATGACATAAGTTTTCATCCAAAACTTTTATTTAAAAATTTTCCTCAGGAAGGCAAAAAACAAATATAATTAAAAACTTTTTCTAAAATAAGCTCTTCATGTAAAGGCACATTCACTCAACATGTAAACATTTACATTTAATACACAAAGTTCTGTTATTTGTTTCAGCTCTCTCTCTCTATGTAACAAGATCTTATTGGAGCCATGGAATAATGTTGAGCCTGAAAGCACGACGCAATGCACCCCCCCCCCCTCCTCATTGTTAGCCTTGAAAAGCCACACCAACACATCTATATCACCTCCTCTTTCACAGCTACTCTTGTGTTTTGTCTGGCACCATTCATTCCAACCGAGCCATCTCTTTTGTAACACCAGCTCTGAGGAACTAGTCTTCTAATGTGTTTCAAGTTGGCTCATTGTGTAATCATAGGGTGCTTATACAGCTACAACACTTAAAAAAAGATGAAATTTAAATTGTGGCTAGCACAATCTGTTTTTTTCTTTTAAAGCCGTTAAAGAATGGAACAGTCTTCCACTAGTCTTAAACTTTGCACAGACTTCTGCACTTTCACCCGGGAAGTAAAAAAATGGATTTTAAGTAACCAGTCTCGTCAGCATTAATGTGTCATCTTGACAACCCTTTACATCTCTCAGGGAAACTTGTACATAATGTTTTAATATCTGTAAATTGTTCTATGTCTTTCTTCTCTCTTATGAAATGTGTGTGTGTGTGTGTGTGACTGGTTGATTTGTATTTTGCTGTTGCCATCAGCTGCCCAGGGACAACAGATGGAAATTAGCTAGCTAAATCTGGTACAAAGCATCTCTTCTCTGACTAACTGTCTCTGGATTCAAATAAACGATTAAATTAAATTAAATTAAAGCAGAAGAAAGATTATAAAAATTGTGCTTTATTTTCTAGAGCAGCTTGTCCGGGCGTCATTCAGGATTCAACCAAAAAACAGAACGTAGCCAGATAAATATGTAACATCTCAAAGTATTATAAAAAAAAGTGGTGTCATCCATTTAATCAAGACAAGATAATCACACAGATGTTGAGTTCTGCACAAACTGTGATTATTACAAATAAAAAACGTCGCTTTAAATGAGGTATGCATGTGAACAGAGAATAGGTTACTGCGTTTATTTTCCCAGTTAGTTTGCAGTTAACCAGCCCTTTTACTCCTCCTGTTCAGTGAAGTTTATAACTGTGCATGAAACATTTAAGTGTTTTTTAAAAGCTCTGCTAAATGCCACAGGTTTCTATTTTTATCATATATATAACCCTTTATTTTCAATTCTTAAATGAATAAATATAAACCAGGTGCCCTTTGATACATGTTTACAATTTTAGAAGTCACTATGAGAACTTTCTGCATTCAGCAGTCCGACCCATAAAGATGAGCTAGAAGAGAAGCAGTATGTAGTGATGGCTAAGATGGCATCTGTGTTTCTGCTGCTTGCTTCATGGCACTTTCTTTACCGCTTGTTTTCTGCCTCCACAATCCCTCAGGGCCGGTGGCATCGACCGCAATGTCCATGACGCGATCTGGCACTAACCACTGTAGAAGCAGAAGGAAGAGAAAGTCTAAAACGGCCACAAATGCAAAGATGGAGCCGGCGACGGGTCCGCAGTGAGCCCTCAGCCTCTGCAACCGCCTGGGGAGGGGGAGCACTTCCTCTCCAGCCACTCGGTCGTACACCTGAGAGGGGAAATCACACTCGTGATTTGATATGCTTGGAAGAAATGCTCTTTATTTAACTGCTTTACTTTAATTCTGAGTCAATAATCAGATCTCTCACATTCACAATATCTGCTGTAGATTATAATTATGCTCTGTTTACAATTCATGAGGAGTGAATGCAGTTTCATATCAATTAAGTTCTCTGACAAACCTTTTCCGTCCTCTCTGCGACGTTTTTCCAGGTGTAGAGGTTTTGCACCCGAGCATGGATGGAGTCGGGGGAGGGTACAGACCCCGTACGTTGACGGGCAATGACCGTCTCCAGACCCGCACATAATGAGCGCACCGTCGGCTCACATAGGGTGATCAAGTCGTCAGGTAACACCTCAGGAATGCCCCCGACACGAGTGCTTACCACCTTAGAAAACAAAACATCATCATCACCCACAATGTGCAGCAACAGCCTGTGTTACAAAAAAAGGGTTTGTCTTCCAACAACTTCAGGGTCTATTAAAAAACAAACTTCTATGACATTTGGCCCTGTCCACATCTGAATCAGAATCAGAATCAGAATCTGGGTTTATTGCCAAGTACATTTACACATACAAGGAATTTGACTTGGTGTATTGGTGCTAAACAATTAACAAGGAAATAAAGCAGAACTAGAAACAACTTAAATAATACAGTATAAGAAGATATTACAATATATAAAATAGAATTTAATTTTTTTTTATTACAAAATAAAATAAAATAAAATAAAAATAAAATTAAAATTAAAAATTAAAAATTAAAAATTAAAAATTAAAAATTAAAAATAAATAATAATAAATAAATAAAAAATAATAACAAATAATAAAATAAAAAATAAATAAAATAGAAAATAGAAAATAGAAAAAAGAAAAAACACAAAATGTACAAAAGGTGTAATGTAGGAGCTGTGCAGTGGACTAAAATACTTAATGTGCTTATTAGTATATCAGGTACAATGATTCCTGCTGAGCCAAGAATAACTCTACTAGGCGATACATCTTGTATAAATGCCAATAAAAATAAACTCAAATGTATAAGAATTGGCCTTGTTACAACCATACACTGGAAGGAGAAAAAAAAAACACCTACGTCTAAGAGATGGACTAACGAATTAGCATCATGCTCATCAAATGAAAAGATAATGTATTGGAAATTAGTTGTCAAAGGAATTTACATAATTGAAAAGATAACTTTTAAAATAAGACTGAAAAAATGCAAAATTCCTTGACAGATGGTTTCCAGGGCAACACGTGATGGAGGATGTTTAGATACAGGTTGACAAGAGAAAATGTGGTGATATCTTAATTTAATAAAATATATAATGAATAGGGGATGTTTGGAAACACTATTTTGGTTGCAACATCTGAAATTAAATCATGGTTATGTCATTGGTAATATGTATGTGTCACTTTTTTGCCTTGGTCTGTTTTGTTTTGGGTTTGTGTGCGTGTGTGTGTGTGGTTTTTTTTTTTTAATGTGGGTTGCTTGTTTTTTGTTGTTTTATTTAAAAAAAGAGAAGATAATGTGTAACCTGAGGGGCAAAGCAGGAGAGTTAAAAAAAAGATCTGGGGTGATTTTCTAACATTTTTGGAGAGAGCGCCTGCAAGTTAGCATCCATTTGTTGTAACTACAGATTCTGTTACGTTTGTAAGTCAGGCCCGTTTTATGAGTGTTGTGTTTTTGGGTCCACTCTTTTGCTTTAGCTGTATAATTAAGTTGGGAGTTATCGATTTCAATTTACCTATCTTATTTTTTTTTTAAACTTCAACGACTTCAAATAGCTGAAGGTTTCGACCACACCCGGTATCTCTGTTGGGTTTTTGGATCAGATAGTAATATTGTCTGTTGCAGCTGCAGCCACACCCAACAGACCATGCGTACAGAAAACACTCAGAGTACTCCATGAGTAACAAAAACAAGATTTTCATGTTGTTGCTTGTGAACCCTTAAAGGAACACCAAACTGCAAGTTTCTTTAAAAGCTCTAAATAAAATGTGGATCATAGTTTGACCTGGGTCTGATCCACAAAGGTCATTTCAGACGTTGAATAAGTGAGTATAAGTGAATGGAAATGCTTTCTGCTCTTTCACGGCTGTATGCAAACGCTTCATTTAGAGGATTCAAACATTTGGAAAACTGTTGAGATGCTAAGTTCGCTTTGCTTTGTCTTTACACATATATTAAAGAGGACATATTATACCCATTTCCACCTTTTCAAACAGTCCCCCTGTGGTCTAAATGAAACATCTGTGCTGTGGTCCAAATATAACATGAATCAAGCACCCGAGGAGGTTTGTGACCCTGTATAAACCAGCTCTCTCAGAACGCTCTGTTTTGGTGTGTGTGTCTCTTTAAATGCAAAGAGACCCCCTGAATTTTCCCCGTATACATCACTCGAATAAAAATGGCCGACTTCTGCAAAAGTTTTGTTCCAGGCTGGGGGTGGAGTCCATGGGTGGAGATACCAGGGGAGGGGAGGGGATTTTTTTACTAGAATCCCACTGTGACATCACAAGGAGAGCACATTTGAAAATGAGGATTTTTCTCTGTGTTTTAAGACTCATGCAGACCACAAACAAAGGACTGGATGGGTTTATTTCACATGTTGTGAGTCAGTAGACTCTCAGGTTACCTAAATATATGTTCAAAAACACTGTGAAAGTGGATTTTTCATAATAATACGTCCCCTTTAAGTTCAATATCAAACACACAGAGAAAGACTGGAGGAGTGACAGCTTCTAAAGTTGTCGGTTTCTATATATTGTTGAAAGTGTCTTTGTTGTTCTCATTTGCTTTAAGTGTTACTTGTTGATTTTTGATGATCATGTATTTAGTTGTGGTTTTCAGTCAACATTGCTGACATGCACAATTCATATTAATTGAATTTAAGTAACTGTAGGTCCAAAAGTGTTTCATCTACTATTCTACTATAAATCAAAAAAGATGCTTCTGCCTACACTGCACATGATCTACTATTCTTTGAAGGACTGTTGTATTCTTTTTTTAAATATTGTGTAACAGCGACAAACCTGAAGTCCGCAGCTGGCTCCTTCTACGATGGCCATGCAGAACGCTTCGGTCAGAGACGTGTTGAGGAAGATGTGCCCCTGTACGAGCACTCCACGGACATCTTTATGCTCTAAGCCTCCCAGCAGACGCACCCTGCATTGACCAAAGTCAAAGAAGTCAGATAATATATATAACTCCAAAACAAAACCGGTTTCACTGTCAATGCTAACGCCCCGAGCTAGCTAGTTGGCCACCTTTATCACTTCCTGTTTTTTTGTACACAACATACACACATTGATGTATGGTGGAGCTGCTGATGCCATCTATGGGTAAGCAGTTCAACCTATTGTTTTATTAGATATAGGAAACTTATCATACTTGCTTTTTATATGTTAAAACAAAACCAGAACTACACACAAACTTCCAGCTTCCTCATTAAAGGCTTTATCTGTGATTTTTCACACTTAAATATATTATAAATCAAGTATCTCCTCTGAAAATAACTCTGTGAGTCATGACTGTCTACAATGGGTGTAACACCCGAGTCCCACTGTCTGTGATGTTTTCACAGTTTTCAGAGTCCTATCTTCACTTTGTTTACATCGCCCGGACGGCCGGCTGACTCCTCCCCTTGTGTATAAAAGTTGTTTAATTGAGGGACTAGAGAAAAGAAGAATAACATACTGTACTCACTGCTTAACTGTGTTTCTAGATCACGCTCATTTCAGGTAAATTTACATGCAGTGTGAAGATACCAGCATAATAAAGATCGCTAGCATTAGCATGCTAACACAACAATGCAGCGCGAGTTGTTTTGGTTTCATGCTGGTGCTCAAGGGCGACATCTGCTGGATTAAAAAATCACATATAAAGCCTTTAAAATATTCAGCAGAACTACATATCATAAAGTGCTGACATTTTTAAAAGGGGATTTTAAGTATGACCTGGTCTCATTAATAATGTTAGGGAAATGAGGGAAATGAACATCAAGCCTGTACCTGTCATGAAGTTGGTATTTCTCTCTCACTTCCTCCAGCACAATTCTCTTCGGCCCCTCTCCACCAATCAGGAAATGCAGATCTGGATGTTTGAGGCAGAGCTCTGGGATTATTCCACCGAGAAGATCGATTCCTTAAAAAGGAGAAGAAATGGTAAATACTTGCTTAATATAACTTGACCTATATCTGCCTTTTTTTTTTCTTCATAAATGCACACTAAGCTATCAAAAGATATTGATCACCAGCTGATGTCAGCCAAAAATGTTTCATACTTTTACCAACTGTAACATAATCCACTGAACTGAAAGAGCTAATTAGGTATGAGGGTTCTAACTTTTGTAACTACCAAAAGAAAAAGAAAAAAAAAAGCTTCAGTGGCTTTTTCACCATGCCAATTGGCTGTCTGTGAGTACAGCTTGGGTCAGAATCAGAAATACTTATTAGGTGATGCAGAACAATACAAGACGAGTGAGGGACATGACAAGAGCAATAGCATGTAGGAGAGAGGGGAGACACGACGATACAATGCACAGCATAGACAAAACAGGCAATCAGGGAGTAATAATAACGTTTAGCAACTCTGCATGTTGAGGGTGTTGAAGGGCCCTGCTTGTGTGTGTGTGTGTGTGTGTGTAATTCAAGTGTATGCTTGTATTTTATTTTCCTTTCTGTTATTCCATATTTCTTTTATCCTCCTTTTTCTTCTTTCCTTCTATATAGATTATCATTTTTATTACTTCAGTCATTGTGTGATGCAGGCGTGCCCCTGTCTCAGTTGCCCCCAGACCCTGCGGAGGGGGCCAGCTGCTGATAGGGTCGCCTACTGCTTCCCTCTCGCCAAGCTTGAACAATCCCCAGACCTGATGGGAGGGGATCTGTTTGTGTTGGTGCTCGGAGGTATCATCTGATTCATTTCTTTAAGTCACAGTATTTTTATCATTGCTATTGTTTTTTTTATGTATTTGTATTTGTTATTATCGTTGTCCTGAAGTCTATCCTTTTTTAACCTTCGTGGGGGGTCGACGTGGAGGTGGTCAAGACCTACGGGTACCTGGGGCTGCAGTTGGACGACAGGCTGGACATCAAACATGGACACTATCTGCAGGAAGGGACAGAGCCGTCTGTACTTCCTGAGAAGGCTGGGGTCCATCAACATCTGTAAAAAGCTGCTGCAGATGTTTTACCAGTCTGTGGTGGCCAGTGTCCTCTTCTATGCTGTGGTGTGCTGGGGAGGAAGAGGCATCTCCCATCTGCCTCTCCTGCTAGGCCTGCTCACACCCCGCCCACTTCTGTCTCACACCAGCGCAAGCGTCGCCTCAGAGAGAGACTCCTGAAGACTCCAGGAGTCTGTTTATTACATTCCGGACAGCTCGGTTATCAAGGAGATCCCGGGTTTGGACTTTGAGCCTTACCGCCAGCCTTCAAATATTTCCGGGGGGGGGGGGGGGGGTGTAGACGTGGAAAGTCCCAGAGGTCAATCAGAAGACATGATGATTCAGACAAAATCACACGGCTCCATCCCAGAGTACAAGAGTCACCTGTTCCATGAAGCAGCAGGAAGTGCAAAGGCCGGTGTAAGAGCCAATATGCAAATAATTGATTGATACTAAATATCTAGTTAAAAATAACAGATAACAGTAATTTCATGTAAATTCATAATGTTTAAAATTGTTTTAAAGGCGTAATTTAGTCATTTATAAATGATAAAAAGGTTATTTTTTTATGTTTTTGGACGTTTATGTTATGACAGCACTGCGTAGTTAAAGTTGTGACGGATGTGACGTAAGCAGTTTGGAGTCCGATATTGATGGAAGCTACACAGTTTTTTGACGTGTGTTAGACCGTGTGTTAGACCGAGTGTTAGACCTGTATTTTACTTTGAAGTTTTTTCAGTAAACCTTTTAAAACGAAGGAAAGTTGTCCTGTCTTTTCGCTGGCGTTGCAAATACTCTGAGTTGACTCCAACAAGTGGTACAGAGGACGAAGACAGAGACGGAGTGCCACTACAGCCGGGACTCGTAGAAGTGAACGTCCATGCTGTCTCCTAGACTTCTGCCACAACGATGCCTCTCTAGTTCTCCTTGCAGAGCGTCTCTTCCTTCATGTTTTTGGACACTAACTGGTCATGTTCATAAGCCGGGAAGAAAAAGTGGTTGAAGAACTGATGGACTGTCTGTCTCCAAAGCTCCTGATCATGTCTTTTGTCCTCCTCTCTTCTGGTTTCCTTTGCCTTCCCTTCCTCTCCTCTCCTCTCCTCTCCTCTCCTCTCCTCTCCTCCCCTCGTGATCTTTGTGTTTTTTTGTACAGATGTTGCTTTGATGTTGTTTGAACTTTAAATGTGAATATGAATAAAGATGTTTTTTCACTCTCAAAAAAAAAGCAAAAAGAAGAAAAGAAAGGAACTACAGATAAGTTCACAATATAAAATAAAATAAAAATAGTTTAACAATATAATAAGTGAAGTACCAAGTGAAAGCAATAATAAAGTAGTATACGTTATAAGCTATGTTCAAGCGCAGGTAATTGAAAATATGAACAATATTTACAAATATGAATATACACTGATGGATTAACAGCGTAGTTACTGCACAGTTCATGTACAGATTGCACTTTTGATGTATAAATATTGTCCAGTTTTCAACAGATTGCACAGCTTTAGTAGAGAAATAGTCAAGGTAATAGTCCAGGAAAATTGCACTCAGTGTCTGACTCTCAAATGGAAGAGTTATAGAGTCTGATGGCCACAGGCAGGAATGACCCCCTGTGGTGTTCTGTGAATGAACCAGCAGAAATGGGAAAAATAGGCAAAAATGTCAAACAGAAGGAGCTTTGTCTTTTACCTTTGCGGTAGACAAGGCGGCTGATCACGACAATGGTGATGGTGTCTTCCTGGCGCTGGGTTGGGTCAGGGGTGAAGTCTGTCGGGTCAACAGCGTTGGGAATAACTGAAACTATCTCCGGGTCGAGTGCTGCACGGAGCACTGTGTTCTCTTTGCTCGTGTACGAAACGCACACAGTGTGGCTGGTATCACACAGGGACACGGTCAGAAGCTTGTTGGTCAGCACGGAGCTCACATCAGCAAAACCGAAGAGCGAGTGGTCAGTGAACACCTGGAAAAAAAACAGAAACGTTCGAGTCAATGTTTAGTAAACAATACAACACATCATACTGATCTCGGACCCGGTGCAACATAGAAAGTCATATACCGTGTTAAGGCCCATGGTCTTGGCGTGGAACAGTGCATCGTGGCCCATGGCGGAAAATGAACTGTGTGCGTGCACCACAGTGATGCGTTCCCTCACAAACACGCAGCGCAGAAGTGGGAGACTGTGGAAGCAGCTGGTGGCTGTGGACTGGTTGTACATCACCTGCAAGGGGAGGTAGTAGACCTTCAGTCCGTTGCTGAGGTACCGGACACCCTTTCTGTTCCCATAGGCATGGGTGACAATTACCACTTTGTGTCCCTTTTCTATCAAGCAATGGGAGAGCTGGTAAATGTGACTTTCTACTCCTCCCATATTTGGATAGAAGAAGTCGGACACCATGCAGATATTGTGTTTCCTGTGGGGGACTCTGGCGACATCTCCAAGAGCTCCGGAGACTCTCTGAGATGACGGGGTATTCACAGCTGATGCTCTCCTTCTTTGGCCCATTGTAGAACCTCTGTATGGCTGTGTTTCTCACTAGAACAACAAAAAAATGATAATCAGATAACATGTTCAAAACAAAAAGGTAATATGCTCATTAACATTCCCTCAAATGTAATGCTTTAGTTGAACAAATACAAGCACAACTGACTTACTTCTCCGCAGAATTAAGAGACGTACAGCTCGCTTGAGAAATCCTACAATAATTTAATACGTAATATTGCTGTTTTGTCTTTACCCGAGGATGAAGGTTTCTCACAAATAGCTAAATATCAAAGATACTCAGACTTGACGTTTCCTTGACATTACTGTTGTGCGACATGTTAAAATGTATTTGATATTTGACTGCGCCTGTATCGGCAATCCTTATATAGGCATGAAGGTTTTTCTGTGAAGCATGTGTATATAAACCTGAGCATATTGTGATTACTTGGAGCTTTCAGACTGTATTGACACTCTGAAGCTTTGTTTAAGAAGAATTAAACTAAACAAAGACACTGATTGACTCATGATCCTTTCTTTTGCATTGTTAAAAAAAAATTCCAGCACAATTTTGGTGTCAGAAGTGGGATCTCAGGACTGATCGTCCAGGACCGAGCAAAAACACGTCCTGCCTCTTACCTTAAATCTTTGGAGAAGGGACGACCGTCTCTGTGAGTCTGGGCTGTCACCTCGAGATCCTAAGAACCTCAGAAAAATCTATTCGGTAAGATTCCTCCAAAATGTCTATTGGTATAAATTATTAGTGTTTGGATCACTTTTTAATTGAGTCAAAGGTCTTTGTTTTCAGACAAGATTAGATTTGAGACTTAATTTGGCATTTACTGTATCTGAAGTAAGATTTAGATAAGATAATTTAAGAGAATACTTTATTTATCCCACAATGGGGAAATTTACATTGTTACAGCAGCAAAGAGCAAAGATTGTAAACAAAAAGTGAACAGAGAACAATTTAAATAAAAAAGAAAAATTAAGAATGTACTAAAAAATAGATTTAAATAAATAAAATAAATAATAACAAAAAATAATTAAATAAATAAATAATAAATAAAAAAGTTTATTCAAGTTTATTTAATTTATTATTTATTGCAGTCTTAATCTTACAAAAATCCTAAGTATTGGATTTTCTGGGTTTTGCAAATAACCATAAAAAAATCGCATCCTGCAAAGACGTTTCCAGGATTCAGGGAAAATTCTCACGTGAGTCTTTCAGACAAAGTATGGGGTCTGAAAGTAGCAAAAATGCCAAGGAATGTCCAAATGGTTCATATTGTCGAACAATGTGGGAAAAACATGGTGATAAATGGGTGTTGTGTTATGAAACATGGGTAAAAGGTTGGAAGGGTTGGAAGTTTTAGTGTTTCACAATTAACATGTCTGGCAGACCGGTTAAATGTGAAAGAGGGTGAATTAAGGAAGAAAAAGAAGATTAAGGTGAAAGATTTGGAAGTTATTGAAAAACATAAAGCAAGTTTTCAACTGTGAATGAATGAAGCTGAACATAGAGAAAGAAAAAAGAAAGCAAAGTTGTTGCCTAACTGTGAAGAAAAGACAGATAAAGAGAGTTTAGGGACAGAATGCATGCTCACACACACAATCCGCCCAAACCCTCCCCTTCTTCTAAAACATTCCCATTCTGAGCTCACCAGTCTCCTGAAGCAAATTAAACTCAGATGGGATGACGCTGAAGTCGCAACTCCTCCAACGTCACCCCCACAACACCCACCGTCAGAAGAACAGGCAGGAGCCGTGGGAGGACTACACGGCCTAGGTTCAGTATTTCCATGCCCATCTACATTGCAGTTAAATCCAAATAACCCAGTCCTTTGTATATTTATCAGTGGTGGGTAAATTTCACCATGGCTAAAGATATTCTTGAAACTGCATCTGACATTGTCAACCCATTTTTTTGACCATATGCAACATGAACACATGCACTGCACTGCACACGTTCACTCAGGACCTGACGATGACTATGAAAAAAAGTTTTTTAGAGATGTAAATGACAGCTTGATGACCTCACATCTTCTCTGGACGGTTACTGACTGTGCTGCGACTGTTTGTTTGACCAAAGGATAATCTGAACTATTCGAAATGCGCAACTCCCTCCCTCATATCTCCATAGCCAAGGCCAAAGAGAAACAGTGGCGAGATTTAGGGCCTTTAATCAGGAGAGTCATGTCAGCTAGAGATTGGGTTCCACTCACTGACAAAAAGGCATACAGGAAACCACTGCAAACCAAATTGATTTGTTTGATTTTTTGTAAAATGTTTGATTTGTTGTTTTTTTGAATTTTTTTTGATTTGTTTGTTTTTTTGTAAAATGTTTAATTTGTTTGTTTTTTGTAAATTTTTTGATTTTTTTGTAAAATGTTTGATTTGTTTGATTTTTTGTAAAATGTTTGATTTGTTGTAAAATGTTTGATTTGTTGGTTCTGAATAGCTATGGTGTAACTCAAACCTAGTACTTCAAGTGTTGTCTGGCTGAACATGTTCTGTATAAAAGGGTAGGCATAATAAGCTTACGCTTCAGTCTACACCTTTTCGATAGGCTTAATACCTCGATGTATTTGATACGTAAATTTAAGGTTGCAAAATTTTAGAGGCTTTTTCACAACTACATGTTCTAAAATGAAATAATTGTTGTGTTTTTACTGCTCGATAGTACAGACACAGGAAGCAGAATAAATATACCACACTGCACACTGTGTAAATTGCTTCTAAACTGATAGTTTGCATAAATGTAAATAAGAAATTACCTATTATTGGGTGTCGAAGACTAGTATCATGTCTAAGTTTCAAATACTGGTATCCTGACATCCCTAACTAAGATATAACGTTATGCCAACATTTTGGGGTGGGGGTAAATTGTTAATGCTGCTGTAACGCGAGGGTCCAATGTGTGGTGGATGGATCACTCTAGTTAAGAGAAACAGAAGGATGGAGACGGATAACTTTACTGTCATCCACATTGTTCTGCTACACAACAACCAACACTTCCTTGTTACTCATCACATGTCCAGTCGTTAGCCAATCAGAGGTTAGGATGATTAAACTCAAGGCAAACATTGTGACAAACACAGAGGTAGATTTAATATATGCTCTGCCAATGAAAGGCGTCTGATCCAACCTTCACAACAGGGTCCTCAGACGCTGACTAGACTCTTCTCCTCTGTCGCCCCCCGGTGGTGGAATGAACTTCCAAACTCCATGTGATCTGCAGAGTCCCTCTGCACCTTTAAGAAAAAGCTAAAGACCCAGCTCTTTCATGAATACCTACTAACTTAATGATGATGGTCTCCATATTATTGATGATGATGATGGTAATGACGATGGTTTTTGTTTGATAACGACGACTTATAAGATGGTTTCTATACTGATTAGAGCTCTCAAGAACTGCCCTCAATGTTGTGCTTTGCCTCTGGTCACTTCCTGTCAGCACCTGTGTGTCCAATCAGACTCAAAGCTGATCGTTTGCTCTTACTCACATTGTTCCCTTTTTTCTAGATCCTTGCTTGTGTTGTTCTTACTCTCTGATGTACGTCGCTTTGGATAAAAGAGTCTGATAAGTGAATTGTAGAATGTAATTTTGTCACACACACACACACACACACACACACACACACACACACACACACACACACACACACACACACACACACACACACACACACACACACACACACACACACACTTTGTTTACGTTTCACACTTTAACACACTGTGAGGCAGATAATATCGTGTTGTGAGATAATATCGTGTTGTGAGATAATATCGTGTTGTGTGTATCGAGTTGTCTTACCGTGGACAAAATGTTAAACTTGTTCCAGCCTGTTGAGATAGTCACAACAATTTCCAGGTACAGATTCATTTCTACTCGCTAGCCCCTGAGCTAAGAGCTAGCCGCCTTTATCACTTCCGGTATTTTGCACACGTCATACGCAAGGCGGGCGCTGCCGTGTTCTTCTTCTTCTTCTTCAGGTTTTATTGGCAGCTGGCATCCAAAAAGTCGCATTACTGCCATCTGCTGGATTTAACATTCACATTTCTAAATCCTCAACAGGCCTGTTCTTAAAAAATATTTAAACAATCATCTTCGGCCTCTCCCTCCAAAATACTTTTTGAATCTCTTCTTACGAGTCCCTCTCTCTCCATTTCAGACATCATGTTCTGTCTATGTGTAAAATACTTTCTACATTTAATAACTACATGTTCAACTGTTTCTGCTGGATTGCATACCTAACAAAGACCAGATGGATGTTTTCCAGTGATATGTAGAGAGCTATTTAAATGACTGTGACTGATTCTTAACCTGGACATTACGACCTCCTCTCTTCTGTTGCTCCCTCTGTGTTTTACTTTATCTATTTCCCTCTGAATTGAATATAAATGTCTTCCCTTTGTCTGACTGTTCCGATATTGTTGACATTCCTGTTTGATTTTACTCCATGTGACTCGTTTCTCCTCTGACTGAGATCATTTGATGTTAATATCAATCCTCTCTTTCTTTGCCAACCTGTCCACCTTTTCATTTCCTGCTATGCCTGTATATGCTGGACCCATCATGAATACACATCTGACCCTGTCTAATCACCCTGTCAATATTATTTTATACAATAAATCTTGACAAACTTCTAATGCTACTAAAATGTCAAACAACTCTACGGTATAAACGTTCAGGAAATCTGACGTTCACTTTGCTACTTAAACATTGAATTTTGGGATTATCCCATAGTGCCATGCAATGCATTTAACTTATGGGCCCAACAGATAAAGAAAACGCATGCCTATGAGTTATAATATTTAGATAGCCATAATTGTATTCTCAGTAAGAATTGTAATAAAAAAATATTCAGAATATAATTACCAGAATTGTATGTGAAACGATTTAATTTATTCAAAATTACGTTATAGATATTTAATGTTTTTAAAACGTTATTTTTGGATATCTGGAATTAAGGTTTTGGCAAGAAACATTTGTAGATATAGGTAAAAAAATCTCTACTGTACATATCCATTGTTCATGCTGATGACAAGACAATATCTGAAAGTGAAAGCCCAATACACATAAATAGCAAAAGTGACGCTGCCATTTCTACAAGGAAGAGTGACAGCTGGTAGCTGAAAATGACAATGTGGATACAAAAGAATGAACATTATTGTGGATGTCCAAAATACTAATTTTGACCAAGAAGAATGGCAGATATTCATAATGTAGGCCTATCACCACGCTTTCTCATGAAGGTTAAACTCTTTGTGATCTTTTGTGAAGACGCCGTGGGGAATTATTTAACATCTCAATTTGAATTTAAAAGATAACACAGTTTCTTTATTTTGAGTCTCATACATTTTTAAAGTAAAAGTCACATAAAGAAAGCATTGTTTTTCAAAGTCTTTCTTTGGCAGGAGTGGATTAGTTTAAAGAATGCTGGGTTAAATATTCACCATAGGTTGTTGAAATAGCCCAACCAGAGGGTCGATGCAATCAATCAATCAATCAACCAATCTTTTATTTGTAGTGCACATATTCATAACAAATCTCAAAACACTTTCCAAAAAATGCAAGTTCAAATACCCGACTCTTTATATTATTTACAAAGATCCAACATTAATTTACCATTAGCACCGCACTAAGCCAAGTGTGTAGACATTGTGGGGAATTAAATAGATTTTAAAAGACACAAGATTACATCAAAAGTATACAGTGACTATAATTTAGTGCATAGAAAATGGATAAGAATACAGCAAAAAAAATGGATTGGGAGCAAACATGTTCTGTAGGGAGTCCAAAACTTCAAAAACAACTTCTAAAAACCTTGTTATACTGGATAAAGTACAAAAGTGACACCAGCCTGGCAAATAAAAAACAACATTAACATAATCCTTACAGAAGAGCAGGTCACATTTCAAGACATTTCTTACACCTTCA